AAGAAAGAAAGAAATATGAATTAATTAACTGTTGTTTTTCTAAATTACCTGCAAACGAAAGGTCTTAAAATGTTTGTAAAGGTATTCAGCACATTTTCTTTGATCCTTCACCGTTTTCTTCTCCCATCCTGGATGGTAAACTATAGGTTGAATAGAGAGTTTCATTTTAAATGTGGGTGTCCTAAAAATGTGTAGAAAAAAGCAAGCAGGTTTATAAATTGAGTCAGTGTCACCCTTGATCCTTCCCACTTAACATTGCTGTTTATACAGCAATCTACAGACCACATTTAAATATAAATGCTACATCTTTAATATTTTTACAGGACACTTTTTACTCACAGCAAGAAGGCAGCACAAGAGAAAGAAGACCTTCAGAAGACCTACGTAATCAAACCTGGTTATTTTGAGTTTGGACCTTTGCTTTACAGCAAGACACGAGAAAAGTAAGAGAAAAAAATATTATCTGCATTATTGTATCAGGGGTTTTCATTTTAATGCCATATTTTCATATTTTATCTTTAGATACAAGAAAATTCAATTTTCAGAGAACTCTCAGAGGCTGGTAATTCATAACAACTGTGCATTGGAGGCAGAGGTCCAGTTCAGTTTCCAGCATGACACTCAGGCCACAACTTATCTGTTTGATCCTCCTACAATGAAGCTCAAACCTGGACAACAAGAAGTACTACTGCAAGAACATGATTAGTTCTACGAGATAAAGTGCCAAAATGTGCACGTTAATGTGTTTTGTCTTAATCAGGTGATGACAGTCTGGGCATTCCCAACCACTCCGGGACAGATAAAAGACAGCTTAGTTTGCAACATAAAGGACAATCCTGAGCCTGTCATTATAAACTTTTCCTGCTGGGGCGTCTGTCCACAACTGGAGCTGGAGACCAACAATTTAAACTTTGGCAGAATTCTGCTGCACAGGTGAATATAGCTGACACAGTAATTAATAATCCATCCATCCATTTTCCATTACGATTATCCCAAGTGGGGTCATGAGGGGTGCTGGTGCCTATCTCCATCGCAGACATAGTATTAAAATATTTTAAATTTTATTTTCCTTGGACATAAGTTACAACAACTTTGAAATGTGCAAAAACATTCTGTTATTCATTGTGAAAATGTTGCCTTTTTTCCCCGTTTTGGCCAGATTTTAGTCATAGTCTGTTTTTGAGGTGAAAATGCTCTTTAGTTTTAGTCATTGTTATTTTAATCTATATATGAAAGTTTTACTCATTATAGTTAAAGCAATTAAAAATGTTTTATTTTTCTTCTTGTAGATTTTTTAATCACATATTCCCATTTTCCACATACCGTTTTATGTTACAATTTGATCTTTAACTGACTAAATTCTTCTAGTTTTAGGAATTGCTTTATATGTTTGCTTTACCGGTATATAAATTCTGAGAATTATGTCTGCTATGCTGTCATGAATATTTGTCATGAAGGCTTCATGGACTTTTTTCTGTTTTAGGGTTAGCACTTTTATTCTACTGTAACTACATAGTAGAAGTTCATAGTAGAATAATACATTTACTTTAATTTAAATTATTTGTCAAAGAATGTCTTAGTAATGGTATTTACAACACTTTTTCACAAGTTTTTCACTACTTTTTTTTTATACAGGATTGACAGACGACGCATCACGATGCATAATAAGACAATGTTACCACTGTCTTGGACACTGCAGGGTGTAGACGATTTGGGAGATGAGTTTATGATACATCAAGAACAAGGCGTCATTCAGCCAAACTCCTCCTTTCATCTACATGCGCAATTTAGTGCCAAGAAACCAGTCCTCGTTAAGAAACAATTACGCCTCGAGGTAAAGTGAAACTTATTTATCTAAACGACAGCAAACTTTAAACGTATGCACCAGCCCTGATAATAATTTTTCATACACAATTCAAGATTGTGTTATAATTACTGTTCTTTTAGATAATTCTTTATGTTAAATGTTTAAAATTAAACATGACTACAATAAATAAAAAAAGACAGCTGAGTGCTTAAGCTTATATACATCATTGATCTTTTTTTTTTCTAAACAGGTTTATAAAGTAAAAAAAAAAAAGAAGATTTGAAATAACAAAAAAATATTTCTTTACTGGCCTTTGGTTTCCAGTCGCTCACATTGTTCATAAGCAAAAGTATAAAGAGCAATCACAATATGTAAAATAACTTTTTACATATTTGGACTGTTTGAGATTAGAAGACGCTGGTAAAGAGTCTCAGTCATCCAGGTCATAGTCATTCCAAAAAAGTCAAAAAGCAATCCACTGGACTTGGTTTCCAAGTTTGAAGATGTTTCT